ACCCAAGGGAATAGTACCCAAGGGAAGAGTACCCAAGGGTACAAAAAAAAAAATATTACTGTTCAAGTGAACAGTACCCGCAGGCACTTAGACGAGCAAGCTTGGGAGTGGGGGGCAACTGATAGGGAAAAATAAACCTAACCTACCTTGACCTAACGATATAGGCAACTAAGTATTGACCAGCCGCCAGACCTCTTCCAAGGTTCGAACGATGATATTTTCATTGGATAAGAATGATAATATTTCATTATCAAGGATAATGAAAGATGACGTGCTTCAACAGGGCAAGGATAACTTTGGCATAATTTGAGGAAGTCAAAGGGGTAAATTATATCCCCGACAAATCTGGCAACAAACGGATTTCCTCTGATCTCGCACAAGCGGATCTCCTCTGATCCCGCAAATGAACTGAGGGAGAGCAACTATAAGGATGAGATCCTACCATTCAATAAAGGTACAACAAAAAACGATTATTAAATCATTGCTTTTCTTTTAGACCTCCGGAGACTGACTTGATCATTGGAGAGCTCTTGGCAGGCACCACACCGGTGCCGTCAAGATTTATTAATCTTCTACTTTCTTCTTTGTAGGAAAACGGTGTCGTATTGGACCGCGTGGATTTTGCCCCCAACAGTAGTCATATTCTTTTGTGAGCTTCAAGTGAAGCCTTTGTAATTATGGCCATGGAGGCCTCATCATTTTTGTAAAAATATTCTTTTGCACATATATAAATGTTTTAAAGATGATTTTGATTCACGAAAAATATATGAAATATATTATTTTGATGATTCAATGACATGTTTAGAAGTTTATGATGTTCATGGAGCTTTATATTTCATATTTATATATTTTAGCTTGCATCTGTACGAGTTAGAGCAGTGATCTACTCGATCACTTCACTTTTTGGCATCATTTAACCGGTTAGATAGGGGTATCTACCCTGTTAGATGAATGGCAGTTTTGAGATTAATGAGGGTCTCCCATCTAACTCATTAGATGAGGCATTCTAACCGGTTATATATGATTTGAGTGTTCATCTACCCAGTTAGATGCTCCCATTTAATTGGTTAGATGAATAGGGCAGAGAGGCGGTAGATGGATTCTCCATCTAACCGGTAGATGAACTTTTTAGATTTGCAAGCCTATTGGACCATTCATCTACTCGGTTAGAAGAAACCTTCTACCCGGTTAAATGAATTGATAATAGCATTTTGATCCTATATTTTAGTATAATCACCTAATTACCCCTAGACTTTAACCAAAGCATAGAATATCCCTAGAAAATGACAGAATTAACCCCGAACTGTAGGAATGTTATATTTTTACCAGTAAATGACTATTTTGCCCCTGAGGGATTTTATATCACTATTTGGCCACGGTAAAGATCTATTTTACCCTTTTGGGACCTATGCGGTTAATTTACCACGTAAAATGACTATTATACTCTTGTAAACCCTAGGAGTATTAGAATGACGTGAAACGATCATAAGGCCTCCGGATCTCACTTGAATCATTAGATGACATTAGTAAATGACGATTTTACCCTTAGTGGACCTTAAAGTGTTAAATTAATATGAAATGACCATAGTACCTTGTGTGACCTCGGATTCGGGTAAGGACCCTGTTAGCGATCTGGACCTCGGGTTTGGATTGTTACACATTGAAGATGCAAGAAATTCATTCCCCCTTTCTCTCTCTAGAATTCTTACACTTCAACCCAAAAGATCTCCCTCTTCTTTTCATTCCTTCCCTTATTTATAGATATTTATAAGATATTTACAAATATTGACGGATTGCTGGATCTGGGCCTGTTCCTCCATAAGTCCTGGTCGCCTTTGATGGGCTTATTCGCGTTCGGCCCATATGGCAGTGTCTTTTTATGGGCCGACCCAGCTGTACGGACCGGATGTCGTGCTTGCAAGTCAGATCCGGCCCATGTCGTCCTGGGCCTCCTCAACTCAGCTGCAGTAGGCCCAGAGGGAGCAGGAGCTCTGATCGCACGGTGCAAGAGAGCACACGGCCCGGAGACCCGGGTCCTTCTTATGAGAGGCTCCTCCTCAGGATCGACCTCACTGTCAGGATGAGGCCTTTTGCCTCGTTCTTTGTCCCGAACGCCCCCCGCAGCCGCAGGAGCTGTGGTAGTTTGGGGAGACGCGCTCTGGTTGGCAGCAGGGGCGCTGACAACAGAGTTAATAGCCACTGTGCTCGGGATAGTGTCAGAGATGGTGGCTGAGGAAGAGGCTGATGTTGGAGAGGAAGTCGCCCCAGCAGGAGGAGTGGCTGGGGGAGTATTTTTCTTCCTGCCAAAAGAAGGAATCTGAAGCCTGCTCATGTTGTAGCCGAGTGATGAGAGCGCTAATAGGTTGTCTGAAGTGAGGAGATCTGAGCAGGAAGGAATATCGTTCAGAACGTATTTCTTCAAGTAATTACTCCTATCCCTGCAAACACTGTAGCTCAAGTCATCACAAGGTATTCCTAAGGAACGGCATAAGAAAGTACAAAAACGGGGAACGCATGTTTCGCAGGGGCAATCATGTTTATGAGATTTGAATTTCTTATAGGAGGAGACAGAACAGACACCAAAGGCGCTCGGGATTGGGTAACCCTCTGCAGCCGGCGAAGACCAAGCCCCACTAATGCCCACGATGCTATCCCTCCAACCCTTTTCAGATTTTATTGTGTCCGTACATATGGACATCTTCTCGAACGGGTAGAAGTGGTAGAAGGGTTCGTTAGTACGGATCTTACTGACCTTATAGCACAGAAGAAGGTCTATGAGGTCAAGGTCCAGATTTCTGTCACGCATCAACAGGAGCATAACGGATATGATTCTAAAGAAGTTGGGGTTGACCTGCAGGGGGGATATCCCCAATCTATTGAAGACATAACTAAAGAAAGGGTGCAGAGGGAACCTAACAACATTCAATTGAAGGTTCGTGAATAAGACTTCGCCGGGCAGGAGGCCGGCACCGGTCATAATGTTAACGTCCTGAGGGCAAACCCTAACTTCGATGTTGTCAGGAAGTCTAAGTCTCATACGAAGAACATCCAGATCTACAACCATGGTGGAAGTGCTTGAAGGATCTAAAAGGGGGTAAATAGAAGCCTGCCGAAAGTAAAAAGGAACAAAACTAACCTCAGAGGACTGCAAGATCGCTGGAAGAATGACTCTTGAAGGATTTCACCAGAAAAAGCTTAGCACTGTTCTAGAAAGAGAGAGATTTGACTGATGATGGAGACGGTAAAAGGACGTGAAGTGGTATTCTAGAGCTTTATAAAGGCGAGGGGGGCCCGAGGGCCGAAGCGTCGGGAAGGCGAGAAATTCCTCGAGCCCCGGAACATTGATTCTGGATCTGACCGTCCGTTCCCCCTTGTGGTTTTCTCGAGCCGTCAACGTCATGATGAGACGCCATCAATAATTACCCCCTTATTAAATAAGGGGCAATTATGGGGGCAGTTGAGGAGGCCCAGGACGACATGGGCCGGATCTGACTTGCAAGCACGACATCCGGTCCGTACAACTGGGTCGGCCCATAAAAAGACACTGCCATATGGGCCGAACGCGAATAAGCCCATCAAAGGCGACCAGGACTTATGGAGGAACAGGCCCAGATCCAGCAATCCGTCAATATTTGTAAATATCTTGTAAATATCTATAAATAAGGGAAGGAATGAAAAGAAGAGGGAGATCTTTTGGGTTGAAGTGTAAGAATTCTAGAGAGAGAAAGGGGGAATGAATTTCTTGCATCTTCACACATTATCTCAGATTTCATTTATTGTTTATATTTGGTTATTTAGACTTTATTAGTATTTCAGTATTGGATTTTATTTAGGGGTCCAGGTAATATAGATTCCTGAGTTGTATTTTGGAGGATTTTCATTTATGGATTTAATGGGAGATTATTAGTAACAGAGGATTTAATAATGAATTATTATCAAGTTTTTCCATTTAGCGAATATTTTATTTATTCTTATTTCATCTTGTATTATATGCTTGTATTTTATTAATTGTTTGATATCTTTCAATTTTTTGGGCGAGGACCTGATCAAACCACACTTAAAAATTGGAGAGTATCACAACGGTTTACTTTAACATTCGTCCAAATCCGATACACCGTGGCGCCAAACCATGAAATGCAAATAAATCATAATACATAGTTAATAGACCATGCTGAAGTGTAAAGTCATACTATACAAAGTATTCACCATACATAATCAGATATTATTAATATAAAAATGTTGAATATAACTAAATATTAACTTGCAAGGCACACTTAATTCCAACAGTGGCACCTCTATGAATTCATATAATCATACGTCCATAATAAAATTTAATTTAAGAGGATTCAAAATATTATTTCTAACTTGAAATAATTTCAAAGAACTTTGAAAATACCTTTGAATCAATATGCATTAAAGCTATGAATATAGTGAGTATAAGCTGGATGTGTTACCAATTTAGTTAGCGTGCTTTATCGTCAAAATTCAAGTTTGATGGTCACAACCTTTGACAAAGTCTGGTTGAAACTTTATCAGAATTTGATTTCATTCACTGAAAACTTCATCAGATTCAGAACTTAGTCACTGAAAATTTCATCAGAATCTGGACTTGGTCGTTAGAAACTTCGTCTCAGTTTCACTAAAATCTCTCAATCTCTCTCATTTTCTAGAATTGCTTTCCAATTCTTGGCACATTTAGATTGGTCTTTTCTCAAGCTTTTTTCTAAGACTCCAAACCATGGTTGGTTAAAATATTGTATTTAACGAATTAGTGCAAAGGTCGTAAGTTACAATTAGCCCATAAGCTATATAATCAAGTTGGACGATTCACGTTGCTTGATCATGTAACCGATTGAGTAACCCAACAATCACATAAATCCAACAGTGAATATTATGTAACCGTTTGAGCAATCCCTCAGTTTATTGAGATCCTAATCAGCCTCTTGCGAGAAACTGAAAACTCGTTGTTTGTGTTATAAATTGGAGAACAAATATATTTAAAGAATATTTTGAAAATAAATCAAATTAATTTTGAAACATTTTCTAAAATGTACAAGTTTGAATATTTATAAAAATTCATCCACGAAAAATTTAGAAAATTCTCAAAAGAAATTCAATAATATTAAAAAAGAAACTATTATTAACTCCAAAAGAGAACTTTAAAAAAAAAAAAAATTCAAAAGAGAACTTAATTTTTGCATTTAATTGTTTTGGTTAAAAAAAATATATTTTTATTAAGAAAAAATTCACCAACTTGTGTATTCTCGACTTGGGCTCAATAGGCCCAAATAAAAATATTTTATTATTAAAAGACGCCTCAACTGAAGTACGAAGAGAAGTAACGACTTCGGGACCTTTCAAAAGGAACACTCTATAGGCAGCTGCTACTTTCCTCACTCAGCTGGTAAGTGATAGAATCATTTTGCTTCTTTTGAAGAACTTTGAATCTTCAATGATGGATCTGTAGATAGTTGCAGAGCTAGAGACTATCTTCTTGTTTTGGTAAGCAAAAAGTAAAACATGCCATAAAAATGATAGAGAGAACTTCATTTAGTCCTTACCTTCTCTCCCATGGCCGAGTTACCCAAACCTCTCTCTCCAAAGCTTCTTCTGAAACTCCTCAAAGCAGAGAAAAGCCCCAACTCAGCTCTCTGCCTTTTCGACTCAGCGAGTCGCCACCCGGGTTACGCCCACACGCCCGCAGTCTTCCACCACATCCTCCGACTACTCTTTGACCCAAGACTCGTCACTCACGTGACCCGAATCGTTGAAATGATTCACACCCAGAATTGTAAATGTTCAGAGGACGTTGCTCTAACAGTGATCAAGGCCTATTCGAAGAATTCAATGGTTGATCAGGCGTTGGATATTTTTCAGAGAATGGATCAAATTTTCGGTTGCAAACCCGGTATAAGATCATACAATTCTATGCTTAATGCCTTCGCTGTATCGAATCGGTGGGATCGAGCTCAGTTGTTTTTCAGGTACTTCGAAACAATGGGCGTGTCGCCCAATTTGGAGACCTATAACGTGTTGATCAAAATTTCTTGTAAGAAAAATCAATTTGAAAAGGCAAAGGAGTTGTTGGATTGGATGTGGAGTCGAGGTTTGAGGCCTGATGTGTTTAGTTATGGTACAGTGATCAATGGGCTTGCGAAGATTGGTAAGGTATCCGATGCGTTGATCCTGTTCGATGAAATGTTTGAGAGAGAAGTGACTCCTGATGTGATGTGTTACAATATTCTGATTGATGGGTTTTTCAAGAAAGGTGATACTATGAGGGCTAATGAGATTTGGGAGAGGTTGTTAAGAGGGTCTACTGTTTATCCAAATGTCACCACTTATAATGTTATGATTAATGGCTTGTGCAAGTGTGGGAAGTTTAATGAGAGTTTGGAGATTTGGCATCGGATGAATGAAAATGAGCGGCAACATGATTTGTTTACTTACAGTACTCTGATACATGGGTTGTGCAAGTCCGGAAATGTTGATGGGGCTTCAAGAATTTATGCAGAAATGATCCGGAACGGGGTGTCTCTTGATGTAGTGATATACAACGCACTGCTTGATGGGTATTGTCGAGCCTCAAAGATTGAAAAATGTTTTGAGTTGTGGGATCTGATGGGAAAGGAAGGTTGTCGAAATGTTGTTAGTTACAACATATTGATCAGAGGGTTGTTTGATAAAGGGAAGGTGGATGAAGCAATTTCTATCTGGGAACTATTGCCAGAGAAAGGTTGTGTTGCAGATCCCACAACTTATGGTGTCTTGATTCATGGATTGTGTAGACATGGCTACTTGAACAAGGCTTTGTGGGTCTTGAAAGGGGCAGAAGATAAAGGAGATACTCTGGATATATTTGCTTATTCCTCTTTGATTAATGGCTTATGTAAAGAAGGAAGATTAGATGAAGCAGTTAATATGCTTGATCGGATGGCTAAACATGACTGTAAACCAAATCCTCATGTTTGCAATGCACTGATCAATGGTTTTATCCATGCTTCTAAAATTGAAAATGCAATTCGGCTTTTTCGTGAAATGTTTACTAAGGATTGCGTACCAACTCTTGTAACCTACAACACTCTAATTAATGGATTATGCAAAGCAGAAAGATTTGATGAAGCCTATGTCCTAGTGAAAGAGATGCTGGAAAAAGGGTGGAATCCGGACATGATCACATATAGCTTGCTGATGGATGGCCTTTGTCAAAGTAAAAAGACTGACATGGCCCTTAACTTGTGGTTTCAAGTGCTTGAGAAGGGCTTCAAGCCCGATGTAACCATGCATAACATTATAATACATGGCCTCTGCTCTACAGGGAAAATTGAGATTGCTTTGCAGCTATATTTCAGGATGGGGAAGTCAAATTGTGTTCCAAACCTTGTGACCCACAATACTGTCATGGAAGGGCTTTACAAAGCCAGGGAATGTGAAAAGGCATCAGCGATTTGGGCCTGCATTTTAAAAGCCGGTTTACAGCCAGACATCATCACCTATAATATTGCCCTCAAGGGCCTTTGTTCTTGCAATAGAATGTTAGATGCCATTGGATTCTTAGATGATGCTCTGGATCGGGGAATAATGCCAACTGTCATCACATGGAACATACTTGTCAGAGCAGTGCTTAACAATTAGGATCCTACACAATCCTTTTGCAATTAAAAGATCACAGAAGTATAAGTTCCTAACTCCTAAACTTCCTTGTTTTTGTTGATTTTTAAATTTTTTTTATACATCTGCAAGAAAAGCTAATTAATGATTGCAGTGTTGTCTTTTTAAGCTTCCTTGTGTATACAGATGCTCAGTATGAGTTCTAGCAAAATGAATTGCTGGAATCATTGTCTATTATCCAAAATTTCGGGATTGAGAGTTATCTTATCCTACATTGATGCCAAGGAATCACTGAGCGTGCACATGAAGACATGTTGGATTAGAAGAATCTTTTCCTTTCACAGTTGTTAAGTATGATTAACTTTTCCATAGATCCATGAGCCACTTCTTTGCTTATGTGTTTCTGTTTGTTGTGTTAGTTTTCTGCTGAGGTCGTATAATGTTATACCAGTTCTTGCAGGCTGGATATGATATCCACACTTGTTCTATAATACCGTGTGAGCCTTCTTTGACTCAGCTAGCTGGAAGAATGGTAAATTCTCCAGAATCAAGTTCACTATCATCACTCATCAAGTTCAAGTATCTATAGCCTAATTATTTGGTTATGCTCTTTGCATGTATAATGTCATTCGTCATGTAGATTATTTACACTTTTGGGATTGGGTACTGCTTAAAAGATTTGACCAGAAACCGCATCTAATGTTCATTTTTTTTCTTTTTTTCCTTTTGTGTGTGTATAATTTATATGTAATGTTTCAGGAAATTATGGAATGATAATCACAAAACAGATGTGATATTCAGCCAACTTCTTAATTTTTAGGTCAGGCATTGGCATTAAGCTGTCAAGTTTTTTTTTCTCTCTGAAAGACCAGAAATAGGTAATTGCCTGTTCTTTCGGGTTTGCTTTGATGAAATGCAGAAAAAATACCTCTCCTTGAAGATGTTTTCAAATTTTACAGAATTGCAAACAGAAGAATCTGTATATGTCTTCATCAATCTATAGTTTCTTTGACTCATAGGAAACGGATATATTAGCAGCCTCAGTTCTTTCTGTTGTTGCTATATAATAAATTAATAATGGAGAAGTTCATCACACAACATCACAAATGAGGAATTTTAGTGATTACAGAGATTTTATAGAGAGAGTGGACGATGATGCAAAAGCAAAGCTTTATGTATTAGTCCGAAGTGTTAGATCTCACTTGGGTTTGTCTCACGCTATATTCATATTTCTTAAAAACTGTACTGGCTAATTAATTAGAACAGAAGAAACACATAGGACTTCACTTTTTCTCTTCCTGGGTTTTGTCCTTTTCCGTTCTTTCTGATTCTGATAACAGCCTCTGCTCGTAGATGAATTGGGAAAGCAAAGCCACCAAAATCACCCCAAGGATCACGACTTTTGGCCACCCAGATGATGAAGAGATCAAGGAGTCAACGATCCCAACAGCTACCAAGCAAATTAATCCCAGGTAGACATTCCTCCTTGTTTTTGAGCCGGCATTTTCTTTGGCAATCTCTTTAATCTTCTCCACAACTTCCTTAGCGTTTGCTTTTTCAGCAGGTGACCTCTGCCCCAAGTTCTTGAAGAACATCCCTTCATTCCGGTCCTTGTCAATTTGATCCTCGAACTCTACTAACTTCTTTTTGCTCTTCTCAATTTCCAGTTTGTTCATTTCCGTGGATTCTTCAAAAGCTTGCATTCGGGTCTCTATGTTCTCCATTATCTGCTAATCACAAAAAGGAACAAAAATGGGGTTATCAATGGGAATGGGAATGGAAAATTCAGTAGCAAGACAGTGGCTTCACTATGCATTGGATGGATAGAATGAGAAGTAGGACAGACCCTGGCACCTGCTTCATCAAGTCCTTTGAGGGCATCTTCACCAATCTGATCGAACTCAGCATTGGCTTCTTCGGCAAATTGAGTTAGATAAGCTGACCGCTCATCCAAGTAATCTTTCAGGCGAACTTTTTGAGTTTGAAGCATTGCGATTTTGACGAGGAGTTCTTGTTTACGAGCATCTCCTTCAGGTGGGGAAGTTCCCGACTCGGAGTCGTTAGACTTGCATGGAGAGAGGAGGGAATTCTTCTTCTTGGAGGGTCCTCTTGTGTGGAAGAGGGCATCTTTGGTGGGAATGAAGGTGGTTTGAATTGCTTTGAAGGAAATCATGTTCTGTGTTCTCTTTGTGGGGAGAGAGAAAGAGGAGGAGGAGAGAAAAAATTGCTATATCTATACAAATTGAAGTGTTCTGAGCCTCACATTAATTGTACATTATCCTTTCAAATACAGGATTTATTGTTAAAAAAATGAGCCGATTCTGTTTCCTTTTGTGGACTGCAGAGAATCACTACTTCGCTTTTACCTGGCCTTTTTGACTATAACCCTGTTTGGAATGAAGAATGGAAAATTAGGAGCGGAAGTATTACGGAATATGGTTCGTCATATAGTTCGATACGTGACGTATTGATTGATATAAAATTTTTTTTCTAAATAGCGATCGGTATCGATTGATTTACAATTTTTTTTCTAAATAGCGATCGGTATCGGCTAATTTACAGTGATTTTGTCTGACTTCGTTACACCGTGATCGATACCGCGACCATAGCTAATACCACGAACCATGTCAAATAATACGTGTCTAAATTTGATACGCGATTCGTATCAGTCAATTTACACCGACTTTGTAACGGACCGCCAATACTACGAACCATGTCAAACAATATGTATATCATGTAACATGGCCGACACTACTGACTGAAAAGGATTTTCTATCCCTTTTATTTGATTGAGTAGTGAAGGAAATAAAATGAGATTTTACATGATTTGGAAATAATGTGTATATATATTTTAAATAAGATGTGACCCAATGATTTTTAAAACATCCATGCACTTCACAATTATTTTGGGTAAATGCGAGCTTATTCTATCTGGACATACTCATTGAATTTGACGATAAAATCTTAGCACAATCATTCGTCATGCAACAGGTTCAACTTTGGAGAGTCATAACCTGACAACTAATTACACCCATAAAATCATATTCAACAGCAGAAAAATTAAAAAAATGGGTGGGTCACTGAGGTTTTCCAATTGCCTTCTTGTAGGTGTAACTCTTTGCGATCCAAATATAAACAATGAAATTAAGCACGCTGAGGATGGCCAACAGCCAGTAGAAATAGTCAAGATGACCCCTGTTCATATTAGCTGGAATCCAACCGCCTTCCCCGTGTTTCGTGGTCACCTTGGTCACAATTGTAACAAGCAGAGTGCTCAAGTAATTTCCCAAGGCAATAGTTGTAAGTGAGAGAGCTGAGCACAAGCTTCTCATTGCATCAGGTGCCTGGTCATAGAAGAACTCTAGCTGCCCAATGTTAATGAAAACTTCTGCACATCCCACTAGAAAATATTGTGGGACTTGCCAGAAGATTGACATAGGAATGGTCTCTAGATCATAGTAGTTGTTCTTCCTCACATAGTCAAGCCGAATGACTTCCAAAATGCCAGCAACAACCATAGCAAAAATAGAAATGACAAGACCAATGCCCATCCGTTGGAGTTGAGTGAAGCCCCTTTCATGGCCGGTGAACTTTCTTGCAAATGGGACAATTGCTCGGTCATATACCAGTGCCCAGAAGAGGACACTCAGAGTATCAAAGAGAGATAGGGATGCTGATGGAATCTTGAAGTTCGGCCCCATGTGTTGGTCCATGGTGTTGCCTTGTAGAACGAACATGGTGTTCATTTGACTGTATACAGCAGCAAAAACTATTCCAGATGCCCATACTGGCAGCAATCGGATGATGGCCTTCAGCTCCTCAACTTGGGTAACAGTGCAGAGACTCCATGGATTTGCCAAACCCTTGACCTGGTCAGTTTCAGTTTCCACAGCAGCCTTGTCAAAAAACCTAGAATTTGACAATTTTAAATTAGTTGCCATTATCAGTAGAAAAAATCAGTGGCGGAGCCAGGATTTTAATTCGGGGGGTTGGGGGCACAGTGCTAAAAAAAAAAAAAAAAAAAAAGAAAAGAAAAGGAAAGCCAGACCAAGGGGGGCATGTGCCCCCCTCTGGCCATACAGTGGCTCTGCCCCTGGAGAAAATCAAGAGCCAACTTGAAGATGCCTGACTAAATTCCTAAACTGGGGGGCCAAAAAGTTTGTGCCTACTTGTCCAACTATGTCCATTCCGTTCTCAAGAAATCTCAAATGAATCTTGTTTAAAGCAGAAATTTGGTACTTCATTGAAGGTATATTCCTAGCATAAAAAATTAAGGAAACCGACTTCTTTTTGTCTTGAATCTGGAATGCAACCTTCATTCTATATCATGATTTAATCATTTCAATACTTAATAGCAAACAAAACATGCAGAATGGGACAAAACAATCAAGTAGTTTGAAAGTTGAAACTATAAAATCTGAATGCGTTGGTGATAGCAAAATCAGCACCCATTGTTCATTCCTAGGATGTTACGGATAAGGTTTTATTTCTGAAGGGTATTTTGACATTACTCAAATTAAGCTCCGTTCTTGGAAAGTGGGAGTGTAAGAGACAGTGAACAATCAGAATTGTCTATTGAGTCTAGGGAGTGGTTTTCTTCCTGAGGCCACTCTCTTCCAGTCGTAGTTTAGCAACTCATGGAGAAATCTAGGGTGCATGGATTGTTGGGCGGTGTTATTAAATGTGGGCTTTGGCATGAGATCATGGAAGTGAAGGTGGATCACGGAAAAACAACAAGTTTTGGTGTAGTAATGTGTCTGGGGGTTCTTAAGGAAGTTGTCAGAGAGATGTTATTACGTTTTCACCATGTTATTTCATAAATGGTTGACACTTGTACTCATGAATGCTGTAATCTCAAAGTTCACCATATATTATTCTTTTTCCATTGTAGGTGGACATAGATATAGTGATTTTGCTGTGACATGGTTATGTTTTGTTATCATTATTTTTCTCTACCTTCCTTAATTAAACACTTGCACAAGTGCCTGGAGTATTCTGCATATTTCATTCCTAAAACTAAATGGGTGGGTACAAGTTAACTAAAAATATACACACGAGACAACTAATCATGCAAGTACTTTGAACTACTGAATTATTGGATACATGAAGGAAAAATGAAATAGTAATTAAATGTTGCAAATCATGAAAAAAATTAAAATATATTGGAATTTATATTACTAAGACCAAAACAACATCTACTTATTTAATAAGGGGGTTCAGAACAATTACCTTAACACTTCCGTGTGGTCAAGCTTGCGGCTTCCTTTAATATTACTTTCTTTGTCTGCTGTCTCATAGAGATGAGACTTATCTGCAGGTACTTGTACATTATATTTTCTGATGGATGCAATCAGGACCTGAGAAATTCGTGTCAAGGGACTGCCTCCAGGTCTTTGGAGCCGGTAAAAACGGCTACCTGAGAAGAAAAACATAATTGCAATGGCCATAGCAACTGCTGGGACTCCAAATCCCCAGCCCCAACCCACATTCATTTGTATATAGACCAAAACTGAGGAAGCAATCAGTGCACCCACATTGATTGAAAAGTAGAACCAATTGAAAAAAGAGCTCTTTTTTTTCCTCTCTTTTTCATTAGTTTCATCAAATTGATCTGCACCAAATGACGAGACACATGGCTTAATTCCACCAGTTCCCAGAGCAATTAAGTACAGTGCTACAAAGCATGCTGCAGTTTGTGATGCTGTTGGGTGGCAAACATCCTTATCACATGATGGTTTTAGTCCATTGACAGAAGCAGTCAATGTTAAGAGTGTCATTCCCTACAAAAAATAAAATAAATAAATAAAAATAATATCAATTTTCAGGAACGAAATTAGCCTGTAGGCCACATGGTGCATGAACTCAATGAAGTGTTTGGAAATGGAATGCCTGTTTGACACAAGGTCTATAGGAATCTTCAAGAGAATAATCTTCGAACACAGTTGAAATTGAAATAATGTCCTCAATTTTAATTTCCCAAAACAATGTTAAGGGAGAGTTGGGAGTTCGTAAAGGGAGAACTCAATATTCTTAAGAAATACCAACTAGGAAACATAGAAACCTCAGATACTCAGTTAACCAAAAATGAAATATTGGGATGACGTGACATGACAGATACTGATAAAGTCTATGAAAAATTTAATTTATAAAGTACCAAATGAAAACCGAAGCCGAGTTTTCTAAGCTTGCATGAAGCACCCTCGGCATATAATTGCAGCATTCAAGTATTAAAAGATGAATGGAAGTTACATACTACAACATAAATGCTTGAAAAACTGGCAATTGTCCAATATCTTCCCAAGTAGGAATCAGCTAGAAAAGCTCCAATCAATGGTGTGGCGTAGCAAGTGCCTGACCAATTTGTGACAGTATTTGATGCAGTGGCATTTCCCATGTTTAGACGTTTCTGAAGATAGTTCACCAGATTGGTGCTCATCCCATAGTATGCCAACCTCTCACAACATTCATTCCCTGGACAAATTCAGGGTACAAAATTTCAAGGCCGTTTAATATTGTAAAATTACAATAACAAGGTATAGCATAAAAATAATAGAACATTAAAACCATACCCAGGATGAAGTAGCACGCTTTCCAGTTACCGGTTTTCTTTCTGACAGCAGGCTGTTTATGTATATTAACTGTGCCATCATTTGTATAGTAATCATCCTCTGCCATGGTATTTCAGTATCTGAGCTTTATTTCAATGGTCCAGCTGCAGTCAAAGCATGTGGAAACCGTAGAATTAATCATTATAACATCATTAAAATGTATATGCTAACATACTGTAACAATTAAACTCTTAATGTAGCTTTTATTTATTTGGCTAGGGATGGCAATTACATAGAGAGAAAATTTAAAAATTATCATCATGACAAATTCTCGATGTTGAACCCCTCGGATCCATCCTCAACCAGTGTCTCAACAACTCAACAGAGAAATAGGACTACAGATTTTGAAAATAATTTCATGAAAATATTCATGAATATCGTGTGTATGGATCATTCCAAAATTAAGGAAGCAATCCTATTGTTAACGAATGAGTTAATAACCACTCATGCATTATTTTGCCTGTCCAAGCTCATACTGAATATTCCAGATAATTTCCTGTTGAAAAATTGTCACATTTTAATGACAAGAAGAAGAAATTGAGAGAAAATTGTAGAGTATCACCGACCACTGGAAAAGTTAAAAGATAAAACTAAGTGTACTCTCAAATGGATATGAAAAGAATATAATATATGTATACGTATAATATGTTCCCTCATATTTCTCTATTTTGTTTGTATATGTTACATATTAACTTAAACGAATATGTAACACATACAGGAAAATAGAGCCCAATATGAAGAAAAGTTCCCCAAAACAAATCATGGAGTCCACAGTTCACTCAAATCATTGATTGCCCAACAAAGTGATGGAATTAGACTCACCGATTAACATACTCTTTCCTTCCCTGTTTGAAATCAATTTATTTACAATTAAAAATTACCCAAGGGCCACAAATTGGGGATGCCCACAAATCAAGAAATCCAATAATCCACTTTATGTGACAATTAAAAATTGAAACAACAAACAAAATTAATGATGGGAGTCTAAGTCAAAAGAAAATTCAACTATTAATTTAATTGTCAAAATCCATCTAAACAGATATATTTTAATTAGATAATCTGAATTAGATTAAAATCCAGAGTCTCCATTCATCACCGAAAACAAATTACTGAAAGCAAGCCCCCCAGAAACAGATGTATATAAATCCATATATATATGCTGATTTGAAAATCTCAAGACAAGCCCTTATAAATCCTTGAAATAGATGTATCAAACCCTGATGATTCATGCAGATATATTAGACATACAGAGAGAGTCTCGATGATCAATAAATTATTAGATTAAAGTAGAGAGTATCAAACCTTTTGAAGTGTGAAAAGGTGAGACAGATCTCTGAACGAGACTATTTGGCTTCTGGGTTTGGTTGTTATGGTGTTAATGGAGGCGAGGAAGGTGCATTTGAGTAAAACCAGGACACACAACGCCCAGATTTCTGTTTGTATACGCTGGAGACGGACGAGTGTGTAGGTTATTGACACAACTACCACCTTCTGTATAGGTATATATATGGTATGTGTTTTTGCTGCAACATGCATAGTGCCAAATACTTGGAATACCAAGTTTACTATAAAAAGGTTTCTTAGCTGGCAACTTTATAATAGTAGCAGATAATTTCTAATTAAAATCCCTCCAGGACCACCTGAAAATCAAATTAAATTGATTACTATAATTATGGAATTATTAAATTTAAGGTGGTCATGAGATTAATCGGAGGATTGCTATGTACAATGAATGTGCATCATGACCCGAATGGTTTTGGTGGGTTGATGGGTGGGTCGGTCACGCTCATCCGGAGAGCGTGGATAGACGCTCCAATCAAAAGGTTTTGATGAACCATGTGTCAAAGTAGTGGGAGGTGATGAGCAATTCGATGACTTTTAAACCGCGAGTGTTTAGTTTCTCAAAATTGAAGTTGTTGCTAAAGAATCTCAACAGTCTGTGTACTGTTGGTGTTTGTTGTGATACTGAATCTTATGCTTCAATTTGGCATAATCAGTAAAAGTCACAAAAATCAAAATTTAGCGACATTAAGTTGAACCTCCGTGGAATTACCAATTTATTCTCAGGTCAAAATATTTGTTAACCATTAGTTCAGTTCACCAACCCACTACCTCGAGGATATATACGATCTGTTAGTGTCTGAAAAATGGATCTCCTTTTAAAGAAATTGGTTTTTAAATATTTACAAGTATTTAATCATATAACTATTAAGACGCCACATCAACAATTTAATTAAATAATGAATACGATATTGTTTCGATTACCCTCATTATCATCAATCTTTATTTGATACAATTAAAGATTTGAAAGATTTCACAAATTTTTCTAATTTAAGAAAGTATTTTAAAATTGTAGTTCATTAACTCAAAAGGTCATTTAGATCTACTATATCTTCCAGAGTACAAACATCTAGGTTCATTTCAATATCGTATTAATTAATTAAGGTGGTCATGAGATTCAACGGCCCTGATTAATCGGAGGATTGCTATGTACAATGAATGTGTACATGACCCGAATGGTTTTGGTGGGTTGATGGGTGGGTCAGTCACGCTCATTGGGAGAGTGTGGATAGACGCTCCAATCAAAAGGTTTTGATGAAGCATATGTGTCAAAGTAGTGGGAGGTGATAAGCAATTCGATGATTTTAAAACCGCACGTGTAACTAGTTTCTCAAAATTGAAGTCGTTGCTAAAGAATCTCAACAGTCGGTTTACTGTTGGTGTTTGTTGTGATACTGAATCTTATGCTTCAATTTGGCTTTGAATAATTAGTAAAAGTCACAGGTGTCTCAAAAAATCAAAATTTAGGGACATTAAATTATAACTCTGCTGAATTACCAATTTATATTCAGGTCAAAAGACTCAAAATATTTGTTAACCATTAGTTCAGTTCACCGACCCTCAACCTTGTGTCTGGTGTTAGTGTCGGAAAATGAATCATCTCTAAAGAAATTTGTCTTTAAACATCTACAAGTATTTAATCTTATGACTGTTAAGGCGCCACATCAACAATTTAATTAAATAATGAATATAAAGTCAACAATTTAATTAAATAATAAATACGATATTGTTTGGATTACTCTCATTATCATCAATCTTTATTTGCTACAATTGAAGATTTGAAAGATTTCACATATTTTTTTTGAGTTAAAAAAGTATTTTAAGTTCTCATTACATATTTTTTAAAGTTTTATCTCACTGCAACATCTAGGTTAATTGAATCACACACACACACACACACACACACACACACACATATATATATATATATATATATATATATCCAAATTTGTAGATTTTTACACAAACCCTTAAATTATTTTCAACTACAATTTCCAAATATCCATTTTATGCTGAACTAATTTTAAGAGAGATAGTAATTAGTAGTGTTCATTGGTTGATACATTATACCCCTCTGACCAGGCTAACAACAATTTTGGTAGGAATTACGGATTTTGCTTTTGTAAACTTGACTGAAACTGAAAATAATAAATTTCTACCAATAGAGACCGTATTTTCAAAGAGAAAGGTTGATTGGTTTTGGTGAGAGAAAATTAATTGTAGCAAGATAACTAACAACCGTAAGGTGCATTTTTAGTCAAACGATATCGTATTAATTAATTAATTAAATTGTTGATGTGGTGCCTTAATAACCTTAGGATTAAATACTTGTAAATGCTTGGAGATAAATTTTTTTGGAGATGATCCATTCCCAGGGAACGTGTAATACGGTGTACCAGGTGGAAAAAAAATCCTTTCCAGTGAACCGTGCTAATAAACGCCACCGCCCATCTCTTCAACATAGTCTTGTCATCACCAAGTTAGGGCCAAATCACCAAGTCAAGAAAGAAATTTATTTTTGTTTTACCATATGTACGAAAACCTCTATATGACTTTATACAACATATTACAAAGAGTATATTATTATACAATTTAACTTTATATTTTGACTGAAATTAAAATAAAATTAAAATGCAAAATAACCTCAATTTAAAAAATTCAACAAAAATTACAAGGAAGAACAAATCATATAATTAAGAGTTATTATGATTAGTATACCCCTATCTCAAAAATAGATCCAAATCATTATATTCTCAAAATTTCTCCAAATCAGAAATTTTGAACCGTAGTTGCGTAGAATTTGGTCGAATTGACCAACTTTAAATCTTGTACCATAAACTAAATCTTACTTCCCTAACTTTAAATTCTAAAGAGAAGGATTGAACAAAAAAATAAAATAAAATAATAGATACGTTGTATACAAAAGTTGTATATGTATTAAATAATAGATATGTTGTATACGAAAGTTGTATGTATATATTAAAAATTTAGTAAATATGAATTTAACTCAATCGTCTAGTCAACTTTTTTACCCCTCCTAATCCAGTGACAGTAATTGGGGAGGATTTTTTTTCTGCACCAGGTACACTGACTATTAGACCTACGCTAGTCTTACCTATATTATATGCTATATGCAATAGTCATGAATGTCATAATTGTTAAATGTTATTCTGTAAGCTCCGTCTGGTTAGATGAATTTAAGTAAAAAAAGAAATGAAAGAAAAGTAAAATGAATGAAAAGAAAAATTATTTTATAGCATGTATTTAGTTAGTATGAAAATTTATATAAGAAAATTGTAGGAAAATATAAATTTGTTATTTTGAATAGTATGAAAGTGAAAAGAAAGTAATTGAACATACCAAAATTACCCTTATGATTTTAAATACTGAAAATAAATGATTTTGTATTTGATGTGTCTAATTTGAGCAAAGAAATAGTAAAATGATGGATTATTAAATTTAATAATATAATTATTTATATTTAAAATTAGGGGTGGCAATTCATGTTCGTGAGTCATAATCGTGTCATGTCGATGTAAGAGTATTCTACTAAATAGGTAAACCTAAACCCAACTAATTTAATAATCATGTCAACAACTCTCGACACTAACCCGACTTTTTTTATTAAATGGGTTAGCGTGTTAACCGGTTTAATGATTTGTTTATCAAAACGAGAATTTAATATTCAATTAAATAATAAATTCTAGAATTTTTTTTGTCACAATTAACCTAAATATTCAAAATAAAAAGAAAAA